CGCCTTAAGGCTTGTCTGAACGCTTACCTTCCATGGTTCAGTCTGCTTTCCAACACCTATACCCAAATTGTTCCATCGGTCTCCCAAGCTGTTAACTGTTCGGAAGACTTTGGTTTCCGTTTCATTTTGTATTAAATATATTTCTAGGTAATAAGGTCGTATCCCATTTATATATAGCCATAGATCTAAATAACACCCAGGAGCAGCAGATGAAAATGTAGGACTCATATACTCAGCTATCTGGCTGGAAGCATATGCACCGATAGGCATCATGAATGCAAAGTAATCTAGAAAACAAAGTTATGAATTTGTGATAGTGGTGATCGATTAACTGAAGACAGAAATCGATATTCATTTTTATCAGTATATTAGGGGGTTTACCATCTTGATTCTCCAGCGAAGGATTATGGGTAAAGTATGAAATCATATCATCTGTTTTGAAACATTGATTCTATCTATAATTAATGAAGCCATAGTATCCTTTGACGAGAACGATAATTTACAATTTTCTAATGAAATAACTTAATTTTATTTGTTAATGTTGTCTCTCTATTCTTGGTTTTCGTTCGTTTGTTTCCGTCTACTTGGCTATCACTGTCCACGTATAATTGTTGTACATAAACCTGTTACGTAACCGTCTATGTGTCTATCGTTTACCTGTTTTTTTGGTTGCTATACTTGTTTCGCTACTTGGTTGTTACTGTCCACTTATAATGTCTTAATTGTTGTATATAAATATGTTACTTAACCGTGTTTTTGTTTATCTGTTTACTTGTTTTTTTGGTTACTATATTTTTTATTAAAACCTTGAAATGTGTACACAAACGGATGACTGTTATCCCGATGTCACAGGGCAGGGGGGTTCGCTTCCCCCATTGTCCGTGCCATAATGTATTGGCCTACCCGTGGGGTTTCGTAGTTTTTACTTCTACTGTCCAGTCGTTATCGATTTTTTTTATATACCCGCTATTCAAAAAGGATCTATAACTTCTAAAGTAAGACTTCAAACTGGTTAAAATTAGCATACTAGTTCCAAGCATACGTATACAATGGTTGTTATGACAACATCGTTTATGTATTTTATATAATTTATCAAGTAGAATAGCTTATACAGCTTATATATAACCTATTGACTGCAAAAAAGAGACAAAAATGTGTCATTCTATTTTCATCGGCCAAAATAATAATTTTTATTTATTTTAATTTTTACCAATATCTTTAATTTTTGTGTGTTCATTGTTTGCCTGCAACATTCTAATTTTAACGAAT